AAAGTTTTTCTTCATTATCCATTCAAGCCATCTCCAGCCATTATTAGTGTCATTCTAATCCATCGAAAAATGGATACTGCCAGTTTCCCACGCAAATAAGATAGCTTTAGTATTATCATCGTTTCAGGTCTAAAAACATTAATTTAACGTACTAATTATATTTTAGGAATCCGCAATATACCTAGTTTATACTACATTATAACTTACAAAGAAAGCTTATTTTCGACATATCGGTAAACATGGTCAGGTGGTTAGGGCGCTCGACTCGCAGTCTGAGAGTTTTAAACCTCTTCCCACCAAACATGCTCGCCCTTTCATCCGTGGGAGCGTTATAATATTCGTTGGTAAAAGAGTAGCCCGAGAGTTGGCGGTGGGTGGTGATGACTAGCTGCCTTTCATCTGGTCTTTCAGTGCTAAGTTAGGGTATAGCTAGCGCAGATAGCCCTCGTGTAGCTTTGCGCGAGATTCATAACAAAAAAACATATATATATCGGTAATAGTGAAACAAATTTTCTCTTAGATGTTTGTTGTTGAGATAACAAAGACTAACACACTAAAGAACTAAAACTTTAATTCTAAAACTTAGAATTTCTTAGAATACAAACATCAAACACTCATTCGCCAAGTAATTTTCCAAAACTGAAGTTAACTAGCCAGAAATAGAAAATTATCAAATATATGGTAAGCATATAAATATTTCAACAGTAGTAATAATAAGCCTTTCAAGTAAGGTAGTAGGGGTTTCTTAAAGGTTAGAACACGTGAACTGAGACTGAAAATACGGTGGGACAGCGGTAAGTTTACGGAGGTACAGTGCTAAAATCATGAGTTCGATTCCCCGCAGAGCTAAAAGCAGATAACCCAATTTGGCTTTGCTCTGAAACAAACAAATAATTAGGGCCAGGCAATTTGCGGGTTCGAATCCCCGCCACCGAACATGCTCGCCAGTTTATCACTGCTAACTTAGGGATGGCTAGCGCAGATAACCCTCCAGTAATAAATTCAAAACAAACCAAACTATAAATCAGTGAATATTTGATAACTGAAAATAATTTTCTAACATAAAATTAGAATCTGATCCATGAAATTGGCAACAAGTGAGTTGTAGTCACTGATCCGGTTAGGTTATTCTTTTAATATACGAACTTGAGAACTGGCAAGTGTCTGTACATATATCAATTCCTAAACAAGTTCAATAAAACATTAGTTAATTTCATTTAGAGAGTTGCATCACAAAATGCGAATATGTAAAATTTTGCATTTCAATTATAGCATTCGTGTAAATACTTGTGAATTAAATTAAATAAGATGCTAATGTTTCGCAACTTATTACTCGATTACAAATTATTATTTGATTTTGAGAACTATATGAAGTACAGAGATTATAGCTTCTAGCATATTCTTGTGATTTTTTCGAACTTAAATGTTTCTGTCCACTTAATTTTAAAACGCTGCACAAAAGCATAGCATTGTATTATAAACAAACCTAAAATTACACCCCTTATATGAAAGGGAGAGCTAGGCCAATAACTCGGCGGTTTGAAACCCGTTTGTGCAATCGAACCGAACAATTATTGTAATTTAACTTTGATGATAAGTATACAGAAAAGTATCATTCAAACCATACCTTATTCAGTTACATTAGATTCAGTTTTTGCATCGGCTATATAATAAAATACAAGTAGGCATCTCATTTAACTTTAAATCTTATCCGAGGTATGTTTAATTATTAAAATTTGGGATGGATTCGATATTTTATCATTTGAATTTTTGAAAGTTTAAAAACAGTACTTTACACTGAATGAACTGTTGTTTTGTTTTAACTAACTACTCGCATCATAACGAAATGCTCGAAATATGTTTTACTATTTTCAGTAGCCGATTTTGTAATGCTGTTGAAATAGCTAAACACCGACTTTTATCAAATATCTTTTATTTAGCAAACAGTTATTTGACCTATCATTTATGTAAGGCTAATTCTTCTCGATAAAAGATTCTCTTCCAGAAAGATACTAATATTTCATTTTTGATGTATGTGCTAAGGTGAACCTAAGTATCTTTCTAAGTATCATGAACCTAATATTATTATATCACATTACATTTTGAATATAAGAAACAAATCCTTATAGTAAATGCATATATTTATTATAAGACAAATTTATATAATGCATCTTTAGCGTTGTTTTTTTTTTTTTTTTTTTATTAATTTTGCTCTTTGTTTCATTTACTGCATCTATAAGCCAAATGTTCTCAGAATTGGGTTTTGCAAATAATAATTATTTTGAACATTTTCATGTATTCCTGTTGCAACAACCAACATTTAATTGTAACTCAGCTGCTGGCAGTATCTACTTAATATATTAACTTCTGTTTAAAGTAAGCTACCTAAATAAATAACTGAAACTGTTAAACGTCACTCTTTACTGTAAGTCAGCAAAGTGGACACTGCCATTTAAATCATTCACTGAGAACTAATAAGTTAGAAAAGTCCAGGCTCCTCGTAATATTATAAGACCCTGAATAGTCAACATTTCCACATTTGAAAACAAAAAAAAAACGGATGGGTGAAAAATAATTTAAAAATAGCAGAAGCATCAGTCCAACTCACGGATGTCATTGGAATGATTTAGACAGGACAAAGGGGATTTTAACGTGGCAACATCAAGTGGTGATCCAAAGCTAACTCAAAAGAAATTATTAATATGGTCTTTAAAGAAGTGTGCAAAGAATTTAAACCAATTTTTTGAATCAAAAGGAAGTCAAAAATCACAGGAGGAATAATGGACTGGAGTGAACTCTCTCATGGAAACATACTGAACATGGCAACAATGAGACAGTTCTATTATAAGATCCATTTATGACTTACTGACAGCATAAGTTAACCTTACCAGATGAAGCAAAACCAATGATGCAAAGAGTTCCTTATGTGGAAGAATCCAGTGTGTGTGGACCATATTCTTTTGGCATACAAAGAAACTCCAGCTTCACAAGGAAGATACACATAGAGGCACGATTATGTTTTCAAAAAGCTTACAGCTTATGTAGCTTGCACTCACTCTAAAGTAACAGGAAGAAGCCTAAAGTATCACAGAGTACAAATTCGATGACGAGGAACCCACTTTGAAACTAACAATGCTTGGAGACGGCTTTAATGGGTAAAGAAGAAAACTTATATTCAAGTTTTTTTCTTCATTACCCATTCAAGCCATCTCCAAGCATTATTATCACAGAGTACCTTTCTTGATAAGGCAACACAAGCAATGCCAGAATTGCACATGCACAGTTACCAGGTCTTCTTGACTTTGCCAATGATTTAGAAATGGAAGTTGACCTTCAAGATAAGGGGTGTAATTCCAACTTAAACATAATCCAACATCATCAAAGACCAAAAAATGACATCCAAACTAATAAATTTGAATATTGTGATGGAACTTACAATGCCTTATGAAAGAAAAAATGCATGAAATGCATGAATTCAAACTCACAAAGTACTCTAAACTTATACAAGCACTCCAAACCAGTGGTTTTAAAGAATGAATATTTGCAGCAGAAGTTGTAGCTTAAATACTTGCAGGTACATCAAAAAAATTGGTTAGGCATGGTCGACAACAAACCAGAGCCATGAAAACACTGGTGGAAAAAGCTGAGATGCTCCAAGTTGGATCTGGGCAAATAGTAAAACAGCTAGTAGATGTAGACATAAAATTCTCTACAACTATGCATGCATTTGGTCTAATAAGAGAAGGGTGTCAGAGGGTCCATTCCACCAATTCAAAGGTTGGAGGGGGAGGAGTCCAGGTAATGTAAAATTTGCTATATCAAATAAATAAGACCAGCAATTAAGAGGATAGGGTTTTAATTTTTAGTCTAATACCAGACAAAAACATGACTGGTAGGTGAAATGCCAAAATGTGTTATCACTGGATATTTTCAATGACACTGAATTTAATTTCAAAATATATTAATATTGGATAAACACCACAGACTGAACTGAATACAGTTTTTTATTGTACTATAGCTATGTTGATATTCTGTCAAAAGAAAAGCAAACAACAATATATACACACACACACACACACCTATATATAGACATATTATTTCTAATGCGACTTTATATGTCAACATCAAAGTAACAGTTGCATTACAATTAAAATTTTAATACATGAAAAGAAGAGTCGATTGATAAAAATTATCATTTAACAATGAATGTGTGTTATTTGGAAATATATATAATTACACCCAGCATAAAATTTCACATGATTAACAGTAACATAATGCTGGATAACGAAAAGAAATGTAAACTAAAGAAATTAACACGTTCCTTAAAATAAAGTGTAAGATTCTTTGAATGAATATCAGCATAGCTAGTCACAATACAAAAAAGCTTAAATCAAATCAGTTTGGGATGTTTATCTTAAATAATAGTTTTGAAATCAAATCCTGTGAATACACATGAATAAGGCAAACATACACAAAAAACATTATTTTATGCCTGACTATGCCTATATACTAATATGATGAAAACTTGGATGATTAAGCATTTTACTGTGAAGACATAAGAACTGTGACAGTCAATTTTGCTATATGGTTAACAGAAACCAAAAAAGATGCCCGATACTTCTGTCACGTTGCACTCCCTCTATCCAACAGTTGGTTGTGCCTGAACCTTAAAGATCATAACCTGGTGATTTATACCACATAAAGTGTCACTAAGGTTAAAAAATATCAACTCCAAGTACCAAATGGCAAAACAAAATGTGTATTGTTGTATTGTCCAGAAACATTAACTAAAGCCAAAGTTTACTTAATAACCATTATCTAAAACAGTTCAGCTAATTCAGTGAAAAAAAAAGTTTTCTTTGAATTTCTTACTTAAAAAGGTCTATATTGCACAAAAAAAAAGGTTTTGTGAAATATATTTTATTATAAATGGATACGTTACCTAAAAGTAACATTGTTTAATTGAAGAATCAACATAAATAATTCCACGTTTTATTTAGACTGTTATCTAGAAATAAGAGAATTCAACTACAGAATTGAAGCACTTGTACTTGTATTATGCAACAAAGATAGATTGATTTGGTGTATGTTACAATATGCAATAGAGGGTTGAAAACATGACACTATTAGAGCTTAGCTCTTTACAGATAATTGAATCATATTATATTGTTGTGCAAGCCTTTATAAAAATTCTGAATAAATGTTTCCACCAATTTACATTAGTTATGAATTAAGTTCTAATTCATTAGAGATATCACAAATATATAATTACCATATATATTCATTGTCCATACGTGTATCATGAGGTTAAGAATGCATTTGTTTTTGCAGACATTTTAACTCTATTTACATATTTCCTTTTTCACTTTTCTCAGTTTTTGATAACACTACACATGGTGTACAGTTCAAATGATTCAGTTAATAATGTTTAACAAGTTCAGCTTTGAGGGCTTTATTACAAGTAGACAGTGTCATCTTTCACATGTTACTAAATTAAAATAATCTATAATACCATTATAAAAGTACTTTCTTGTAATTTTTTAATTTCTTGCAATTTCCTATGTTCTTATTTAATTTACTTTCCTTTAATAATACAGCATAGAAAACTTTTGTCTGATTCATATGTTAATGCAGTAGAATATTACATATGTTTCTCCATACAAAATATTTAACATTTAAACCAATACTGATTAGACAGGCATATTCCACAACCATAATGTAGATAAACAAATGTTGATAACTGTTGTCACAATGACTTTCTTTTAAAGACTGTATTTTTTATTAACGTCTTCAAATCAAGTTAACAAGTAAAACAAATATGGATTACTCTGATTGTCAGCTTTGTTGCTAATTCATGTTTCTCACATAAATGTTTAGCAAGATTTAAATTACTGAATCTGTGGTAATTCAGTAACTGGGTATAAACTGACAAATGGGGATTTAATGCAAACTTGCTATTTTTTTAAAATAACAAAGATGTTAAGTTTCACAAAGTTCCTAGCTTTATACTACAATACACACATATATGCCATAAAATATAAATATTAGGACGATTAGCTATCCCAGCGACTCTTTTTTCTGGATTTACTGGATGAAGAAGATGAGTTTGATCCAGAAGTACTGGAGTTGTTTGACTCAGCTGTTGCAGATGATGAAGGTGGAGTAGGCTTATTAATTGTCCAAGCTGTGTCTGTGGCTGCACAGAACTGAGACTTGTACTGAGACTGGAACAGAAAAGAAAGTATTTATACAATACCACAACTTCATAGTATTAACATTAGTATGAAAAGTAGAGTGTCATCGATAGCTGTTAAATTGGGCAGTGTTATAGAGTATAGCTCTGTGCACTAAGTAATATTCTATTTAATTACATAATGCACTAAAGAACACAGAATACTCACACGCAAAAAGCAGACATGTTCCATAAATATTACAATTTTTTCTAGTTTTCTAACTATGTGACAAGAACCATTAAAAATTCAACTAAGCAAAATAGACAATTCTCTGTACAGAAAACAACATAATATGATATGTCATTTGATAAATTAAAACCTTGGCTTTCTATTGGTTATAAATAAAATAGTATTAAACATCATACAGAACTATTGGCAATTTCCGAAAGAGAGGATGTGAGGTAGGCATGGCAAGAGGAGTCTAATTTTCTATTTTATGGCTTTTTTAACTAAATAAGATTGAAGGCTATAAAATTATGCTTTGACTAAGTGATAACAACATTATAATGGGTAATTTATGTTAAATTTCATACTTCTTGGAAGAATGGTAAGTAAATCAAAGAAAAGAGAATGCTTAGACAGAAAATGTCACAATTCTCATATTAGGGGAAATTCAGGATTTTTTTTTAATATTGCCTTACAAAATTAAGAGCTTAAGACATATACTCTATTAAAATTTGGATTATTAACAACATTTCTATGCTGAATTTATTTATATACCATGGTAAGAAAGTAGTTTGATTTAATTTGAAATGTAACTTGCAAAAATATTGTGATGTGTAGAAAAAGATGCCCATAGTGAAAGTGTTAACTGCTTCTTCTGATGACAAGTAAAGAGAATATAGCAGTGATGGTAAAATCAATGGAGACATGGATGGAAATGGCCTTCAGAAGTATAGTAAGTGGTACAGTCATGTAGGGAGCATGCTGATCAGCTAACCATGCTACTCCTCCATGAAACCTGTTTGTCATGCAATCTGTCTTTTCTGAGCAATGAAAACTGCTGAATACTGACAATATCAACAGTTTTTAGAAATGTCTCCTTTAAAGAGATACATAATGAATACTAAGAATTAGTAAAGGTCTTGATGTAATCTCAATTAGTTTAAGAACCTCAACAGTTCTACTATATCAATGTGGCCATTTTCACCTAGAACTTTGAGGAGACCTAAGTGGGACAGAGTTTATGATATTTGTCTCTACAATCCATTTTTTGTATTTTTTATTCTTCAACATTTAGATCAACTATACTTACTGACTCTGCTCTCTATCAGAAGGCTAAAACTTCAACGAGTGAGAGCAAAACCAAATTACAGTCATGTGTATTGGGTCCAAAGGGACTGGTCATGATTGCTATATTGTAGTAACAGCATGGACAGAGATAAATGCAGATATATCCACCTGTTTGTCCATTGAGGATAATAAAACTCTTTAACATAGTCAGAGATGTCTACATCTCAACTATAACAGTGGAAGAGTGTTCAGCAGCTTCACCATTTTGGAGGGAATGTTACCATCCTCCATGCATCAGTGTAAGAGAGATTATTGGTTATTCAGTTTATATTCTCTGTACTTTCTTCTTTTCAACCCCTTTTAGACACGATCTATAGAAAGAGGGGTGGGAACCAGCACAGTTGATACAGTGTGGCTCTGACTGATATTTGCTGCTACTATAGTCTTTGCCAAAACAATGAGCACAGATATTTTAGTATTCAAACTTAAACAATGGAGATAGTTTGTAATATAAAACCAAACTTTTCATTCGCAGTAGCCTGCCTTCACATCAGTAGGTGAACATCTCATCAAAATGAGCACCCTAGTTGACTCAGGTATTCCATTATTTCGAGTGCAGATTCACCAAACAGTTAATATTCCTTGATTGGAAAGACTTTCAAGAATCTCTGACTTGGTTGTGTTAAGAAGATACTGCTCAACTATAACTCCCTTTTAATGAATTAAAGTACTATGAAGGGGGGACCTAAATGGGTGTTCCTCTAATAACCTTTAATTGAAAAATAATTCACTGTGAGTGGATGTTTGAATCTCAGAATAAACTAAACTACACACGCAAAACCTTCCCTTAGAGGTCCCTTCATCATATACAGGAATCCATTTTGAAGGGCATTTTTTGAAGAAAAAAAAAGGTGATGGAATGTAAAAGTGAATTACTGAAGCATTCTTCCCCAGTCATTTCATTCACATAGCTTTGTCCTCATGTAATTCTTTCATATCCCTGTTCAATATATTCACATAATAATGTTATATAAATTTTCTAGTTGTAAAAAATATATAATGGTGTTTATCATCGAAAATAAACATATGATAATTGCACCGTTCAAGCCATTTTTTTGGTTAAATATTATTCCTAGAATGATTAAAACATTTAGATTTTTTAAGAACTTTCCATCAATTTTAACAACATATTTGTATAACTGAGCTTAAAAGCCAAGAACTCAAAGTTCAATACCTTACCACTAGTAAAGTAATGGTAAAATATTTTATGAGTAGCCTTAAAAATATTAAGTAATAGTTTATTCATAAAAATAGTTAATTTACTTTAAACTGAACATAATAGCATAACCCAGTCAATACTACAAGATACAAAAGCATATGAGAAAAACACACTATATTATTGGCTGAAAATACTTCTACTATAACACAAGTAACTTTTTTAAGTGTTTTGTTGGTTGCATTAGTTTATGAATAAATTTTTAATAGCCAAACTAGTTGCAAACTAATAACTTAAAAATATGAATGACTTTACCACAACTAACCAACTGACTTAATCCTACATAAACAACTCTGGTAAATTGATTCAAACCAGAGAAAGACAGAAGTTGGTAGACACTTCTCTTGGTACATATTCACTGTAAACAAAGAAATCCATGCATGGTTTGGTGAAAACTCTGGAATAATTTAATAATACTTGCCCTCTTAAACGTTTTAAGTTCACGAAGCAATAATATGGACAAAAAAAACAAAAATGGGTCACTCCACCACTTAAAATATAAAAAGTTCTATTGGCAGCCTTCTATAAATTTTGATAACACTAATTCAAAAACTGTAAAATGAAATCATTTTATAATGCTCATTACTTTGGGAAAAAAATCAAAACAAATACAATCATCTAAAAATAACTGGGTCAGTCTTAAGGTATATTTCATATATGAAAAGGAAACCCTTTGAGCCTATTAATTTCTTTATACATTACAGTACCTCAATAGTATATGAGCTTGTCGCCTGAATTTTCCTTTGAAATTTTAAAAATTTGGTTCATTAATAAGGATTAGACTATTTCCTTGAATAATAGGCATATTCAGATTTTTCATCATAAATTTTTGAGATAAAAAATATCATAAAAATAATTTCTCAATGGACTTTTCTATGTCTATTTTCAGTTGAATAGATTTTAGATGCTTTTACTAACAAAATGAAAAACAATACTTTATATTACAATATTACAAAAGTATAAGTCTACCAACCTGAAATGCAGCTTTCAGAGCAGATAAACGGTCTGTACCAGGACCAGATGCTTTAGGAGCAGAAGGAAAATGTGAGCTGTTTTTACTGAAGATATTCTCTGAAGACTGGATAGAAAAGACCAGAATAATACAAATTATTAGTGTTGGCAATAATAAGTTCAATAATTCAACAATATTATTTTGCTTCCTGATGGTTACAGAAGTGGACACTGCCTCATTTAAACATTCTTGGAATGCCTAATTACAACACCCAGTACATTTAGATTTGTAATTTGGTTATGCCAGGCCTGTTGATTTGAACACACACTTGATGAATTTTACTATACAGGTCCTACCATGGTTGTTATTTTTCATAAAAATGAGATAAGTTTTCTCATATCAGGTCCAATCAGACCCGTTAATTTTGAACACTTAACTTTCTGTAATAACCATAAAAACATCAGTGACTGTTATATTGTACTTGATACATCAAAAGTGAAAAATTATCAGAAAAACCAGTTTGAAAACTTCAAAAAGGGTCAATAACATTTTGGTTCATGTAAAATTAATTACTTGATACTAGCCCAAAATTAGAGACTAATGAAATGGTACTATAAATCACATGCCTGTAATCAAAGCTGTGGTTTCTCTTAACAAATATGTAATCTCACACATATAGAGCAAACACAAGTTCAGCATAAAGTTTCTTTTTTTCAGTCAAAGTCTTAGTGTAAAATAGATATTAAATTCACAAAGAAAGAAACCAAAACTAAAAGATAACAGGTATGCGTTGGCATCCTATAAGTCATGACAAACTTATGTACCTTTAGTTTCTATAGTAAGTTTTCAAGCAATTATTTTTTTACATCAACCTCATGTCAGCTGGACAAACTGCTGCACCAGTTTGCCAGAAATTTACTTTGATGTTTGTTTGTTTCAGAAATTTGCATAAACCTACACACTGTTTATCTGTAGTAGCCATCTCTGATTTTTAAATGATAAACTAGAGGAAAGGTGACAGTCAACAACACCCACCACTAACTTCTGGGTTACTCTAATTGAAAAGTGGGATCTAACTGTCACGCTTATAATGCACTTGTTGCCCCCTAAGAGTGGCGTGCACTTTTGCAGAAACAGGATATGAACCATAAGCCCTCAGATTCACAGTACAGTACATGAATTATTAGACCACACCCAGGCCAGGATTGTGTTACAAATATGAAATATAATTATCCTATAATATTATTTGGCATATAAAATATTTTGATAACTGAAGATTTTATATCTGTAATATTTAGGTATAAAGTTTGCAAAATTTTCTTTTTATGTTTATTTTGTACAGAAAAATGCCTTCTGTTGATTTGTATGTTCATTATCTAAAGGCCAAAAAAATATTAATAAAAACTAAAAGGTGTAGTTGATGGACATATTTTAATTAGGCCTAATATTTCAATACTTTCATATGCTACATTTTAAGCAATGAAGCAGAAAATAAAAATTTTAAATATTAAACATTGTTTATAACCGAAACAAATTTTACATAACTAGCCTTCAATGATACTCAAAAGTTCTTTTTAAAGCACTGCAACTGCTGACTCAAACATTTTCATTTTGTTATGAAATGGTTAAGTCACCATTTTTAAATATGATAGATTTTATATGTGAAAGTATTTTGGTAAAAATTATGGCAGACTACTTGATGTTGCACCTAAGTGTAAATAAAAAGAAAACTTGAAGATCTATTAGAGGTAATTTCAACTCTGAATGATTTTTTTTTCTGATAAAGTCTTTTGGACTCTGTTAATATTACATTCAAGTCAAACTGAAAAGTCATCTTATTAATTATCACACAGCAAGAATGATTGTACACTTAGCTAAACATAAATTCATTCAAGTAGATACCTTGCATATTTAATCATAAATAAGCTTTTCAATAAATGAAGAAAATGCTGATAGCTCAAATGTAAAATTAGTCACACATAAAACTAGTTGAGATGAAGTACATCAAATAAATATTACAATTAACTTTTTAAAAAAATATGCACCTTCCCTAATATTTCATTATGTTCACTGTAATAATTAATGATATCAATTGTGCATTAGTTTTAAGTCTGTTAAATCCTACACTTTCATTGGAGTGTTTTACCAAAACAAATTCAAAGCTAAATGTTCTAATTTGGTGCACAACATAATACCGTAAAAGTTGACTCTATTTTCCTTTCACAATTCACTAATTGCAATATGCTATTTAAAAAATTAATATTTTTATACACCTTTAAAAAAGTCTTCTAAGCCTTAAAACAACTCCTCTTATTGATTGAAGTACAAATATCCAGCACAAATTTTCATTTCAGAGGATTTTGTTTTATCATTAGCATGTTTTGTTAGACTAGCTAATTCATAAAAAAATGCATAGAGAAAAAATTTTAAAGTACAGTTCTACTAAACAGAGAATTTTAAAGTACCACAAAAATTAATTCTAATTTTTGAGTTTTTGTAACAAATGAAAATGTGAATTAATAACAACTGTGTGACATTTTCAATAATATTAAATTTCACTTCTTGCTGACATGATGTCAAAGAAATTTTGAAATACAAAAAAAAAAAAAACATATTTTCAATGATCTGACTGATAATCACAATCTGAATAGCAAATATAATAAAATTAGAAAGGTAACTCACAGATTCTTCTTTGAAGCCTAACCCACGACCTCCAACATTCAATTTCTTTGCCTTGCCTTGCTTATATCTGGACTTACGGAACCAAGAGCTCTGAAATTAGTTTAAACCTCTCTTTACAACAAAATTACTTCATTTTTATAATTTTTGCCTGTGCTGTTCTACACAATAACTATTTTTCAAATTTTCCTACAGTACTGATTTCTTCATTATGATAAATATCATTGCACAGTTTAGTACTTACATTTCACTTACATTTCAAGCATAATGAAATTCTCTACACCAATAATTTATCTTAGTATTTTAAATATTTAAGATTTTGGATTTAAGATACTTCAACATATTTGTTTGAAAGATTTTCAACAAATTAACCTAAAAAATGTTCATAAGGTCTCTTTTTGCTTTAATGGAATACGTATAGATTTCCAGGAAATTATTAACCTGTTTGAAATAATCAAATATTCCAAAAAAGTAATCTGGTCAAAGTAAAACTATGGAAATTATGAAGAAGAAGGTAAAATATTTGGTGCTGCATGCAAAAGATATTACTGCAACACACCTCAAACCGAGTTTAAAAGGCTTTCACAACAAAATATTACACCAGGCAAAGCTTACAGTAGTAGAGTTCATACTAAAATCAGCTTATTATTTAATCTTATGAATTAAGTTACAAATATACTACATATACGAGGGAGAAAGGTTATAGAAACTATTCAAAATGGTTTTCTCCACCTATTGGTCAAGGAACCTACCAGAAACAATGCTATTTTAAATTTATTGTTAACTTCTAACATAGAAATTGTTGAGAGGGTGGGAATTGGGGAACACCTAGGTGCAAGTGATCATTGCTCTATTAGGTTCAATGGTTTGCTGCATATGGAGATCAGGAATAATATTTTGGTTACAAATTTCAAAAAAATCAAATTTTGAAATATGTGATAAGAATTATCTGTTGTGAATTGGGCAGCTGAGGTATTTGAAAAATTAGGAAAAATATTTAAAGATAAATTTTTAAATATTCAAGATAAACATAGTTCTTATAGAGAAAAAGGGGTGGCTGCAAGTAAAAAACCAGGTTGGCTCACAAAGGGCATAAGAGATAAAATTAAAGAAAACCATCACAAACTTAAAAAATTTAAATTGACTGTAAGGCCTCCTATATTGGCAAAACCAAACGCCATTTAAAAGTCAGAGCCTATGAACATATG